GGGAAAGAGAATCTCTCTGTTGGGGAGAAGCATAAGATCGGTATCGTTGGCCAAGCTAACCCCAATCCTTTTTGCTACAGCCCTCATGAATTTGAAGAGGGAAGCACAGAAGATACCTGAATTTTTTCTTCTGGAAATCTGAGATTAATTTGGCTTGAGAGGAAGACTGGAGATTAAATACCTCATGTGCTTTCTTTTTACTTGTTACCATCTCATTCTGGAGCTTTTTCCTAGTTGGGGCTTTATCCAGATTCTTAAAAATCTTCTTTTTCTAAGCTGGCATGCCTCTTAAACAGAAAAAGAGGTAAAACCCAAGTTAGGGTATTTTTAGACCTGTTGGTTAATTTGGTTACTAGTTTGATAGACTGATAGTGTCCTTAATAATAGCGATTTGGGGTTTTGATGAGCCATATACAATCAGCAGGGTCTACTGAGAACTGAACAGGAATGTATCAAGGAGTTTGGGACAGTAGTGTCTCTACTCTGTAGCCCCATATGTCTTTCTTCCATTTTCTGGAGAACTCCTTTAAGGAAGCAGATTAAAAGGTAAGATTAGGAAGGAATACAAACTTTACTGTTAGCTTAACAGCAGATACTCTACTGTTAGCTTAACAGCAGATGCTTTACTGTTAGCTTAACAGCAGAGCAACAAATGCGTGTTAAGTGAACTTGGTAGAAGTTGTACGATATTTGGGGGAAAAGTGGCAGGATTTTAAATGATAGCATTTCAAGCTATCCTATACAAATGCCCAATTTCTCCCCACAAAGTTTTTTTCAGTGGCCACTGAGCTAGATATTTTAATAAACATTTTTACACAATGATCTTCCTTCTGTTCAGTAGGTACCAGATATTTTGACCATCAACTTACAAAGTGCTAACTTGCTTTTATAAAGGTCTTGGTGATAACTCTAATGTTCCAGGTAGAGCTGAAAAACATGTGTGAGAAAAATTATCAAATCCCTATGGGTCTTAGTCAATAGGTACAACTTCCAGGGACTGGTAGTTGATACTGCCCCACTTTCTTACCCTCTCCAGTTCTCAGGGCTAAGTGATCTCCAAGGTCCCTTACAATGATCTCTAAACTTCTAACAATGATTGGGTGATTGATCATTCCCTTAGCCAGAAGGAAGAATTTGGAGATTCCAGTCACCATGGTGAGAATTCTTGGTTTTGGTCTTGATGGAAAATGTTCCCAGGAAAAAGGACACTGAATCCTTGAACCTCACTCTGTACCAATAATTATCTACTACATCCTTCTCTAAGGGCCTCCTGACTAGAAGTGAAATCAAGAGAAGCGGCACCTGATGTTTATGCATGCAAATGTTATTTCCTCCCAGATTTTATTTTACATCTTATTTGTCTAAATTAATGTCGCCATTTAAGTATATTCAAGGATAAAATAATAATTACAGAAAAAGTATAATGACTTGATTCTTCACATTATCAGAGGTCCATTATATTCATTCATTCATTCAATTCATTCTATAGCTATTTATCGAGCACCTGAAATGTTCTGGGCACTGCTCTAGACATGGGGCTGTAACAGTGAACAGAGACAACTCCCTACTATCATAGGGCTTCTAAGCAAAACTCAATATTCCTTGGATAACAGAATTGCTTGTTGATAGGTGAATGGTAGCACCAAAGCAAGGAATCCAGAATTTTTAATCCAAGAATGGTTACTTTCCAATAAAGATGAAATAATAATAATAAGAGTAAATAACAATTGGTAATACTTACATAGTGCTTACCATGTGCCAGGCCTATTATAAGTGCTTTTATGTTCTAATTCTTTAATCCTTAATCCTACAATGTAGAAACTATTATTATCCTAGTCTATGGATGAAATTGAGACACAAGAGATTGTCACTTGCACAAGTTCACATAGCTAGAAAATGGAAGAGCTGGATTTGAGCACAGCTTAGAATGTCTGTGACTTTATAGATTCTAAATCAACTACAAAAATTCCCAATCTTCTACTTCTAAAGCTCTGCCTCTCTCCAAAGGAGGTAAAGAAAAAATGAAAAAGAAATAGCTCCTTTTTACAAAAACTAAAACAGAACAAAATGCAATAAAACAACAGAGGATGGTCCCAAATTGTGATTTTTTTCCTCACTAGGAAAAGATGTTCCAGTCCAGAAGACTGAATTTTAAAGGATCTCCCTCCTGTCAAGGAATCTGTGATAGTAGCTGATGAATAAAAACCCATTTTTGTGTAATTATAAAGCAATCTGTGGTTCCCATGCCATCAAGGATAAATAGAAGCCTGAGTGAGGTTTGGCTAAACTAAAAACTACAGGTCCATCTACCTATATGTCTTTCTCAGAAAAACTTGGCCCAAGCTGTCTGTTAAATTGAGTGGTGAGGCATAGATATGAAGGGTTGAGACCCAATGTTAGAAATAGGTAGGATACAAAAAACTTCATCAAAGTAATGTCACTTTTTCTCCCTTATTTTTAGGAAGTACATTTGAAGAACACAAGTAGAGGGAGTGCAGGAAGCAAGAACTACAGAATGTAGGAAGACCTTCCTGAAGAGTGAAGAATGACATGCCACTGGCAGGATCCTTTGCTCTGCACGAGTTACCTGTTAAACACCAGAAGACCTACCAAAAAAATAAGTTTGATAACATTTCAAAAGATGGGCATTCCCCCCAATGAAATACGCAAGTAAACATTCCAACAATGTCTTTAGGAGTGATTGTTAAAAGCTTTGCACCTTGCAAAATGGTCCTGGAGTTGGTAGATTGCTGTTGATCCTTTACCAATAATGTTCTATAGAGAAAATATATATAGAGATCTTAGTCCCTGCCTCTCAAGAGCCACAAATGCATGGGTGTTATATAGATCCAGTTGCACTACATTTGTCTCTGAATCTTGGCTGCTAGAGACATTCATTCAGCAGCCTTATCTAAGTGGTTTATTAATTTTTTTATTTGCACTTCTTTCTACGCAACACAGGCTGTTTGTTTTACAGTGTCTGGTAATCTTGTTCGTCTATCCCCCTCCCCGCTTCATCACCTTTTTATTTGCCAAATTTGGCCTCCTCAATAGCAGCAGCAAGCAGTCAAATAGCACACCAATTTTTAACCCACAAGATTCCATCTGTGGCATTTGTACCAAATATAAGTTGGATGCATTTATTTTAGACACAAAGCTTTATTATTTCCACATCTTGCTAAAAAAATTGCAAGTAGTTGCAACTTTGAGGCCAATCATTTTAGGCATATGTTTTAAGCATAGAAAGTCTCAAACTCTGAATGGTTCCTTCAAATGATGAGTGAGTGTGCGACCTAATCAGTACTTCTCTCTTTTTATTTTTTCCATATAAAGTACTATGTAAATTTAGCATGTCAATAATACAGGTTGTATCAAACAGTATGTAAAACTCTGTTTTTTAGTACAATGGTGCTATTTTGTAGTTTGTTATATGAAAGAGTCTGGCCAAAACGGTAAAAGGTGAAAGCAAAATAAAAGAGGAAGCCTGGAGCCAAAGGTGACACAGAGGGGAAGGGTACTCAAAATTTAACCATTTGGGAAAGAAAAGTTCCCCAATTATGCCTTCCAAAAGAAATAAGACACAAAGTCCACTGATGCAAATTTGATTGGCGAGTCCAGAGAGGAGTAGAAGAAGCAGAAGGCTAGGAATTTTAACAGTCCTGGTTTCTTATTCTCGCTGAAGAAACAAACATCTGCCGACTCTGTCACGGACTCACCACTCTGTGACCTTGGGCAAGTCACTTCACCTCTCTGTGCCTCAGTTTCCTCATCTGCAAAATGGGGGCAATATGTCATCTACCTACCTCACAGGGGTGGTATGAGGATTAAAAAGATAAAGCTCCAGATTTTTATCCTGAGTTGCTATGAGGGCGTCAAGATCAGAGCCCTTGAGTTGCTGGGATGCAAGGAATTCTATGAACAACTCATTCACAGCATAGCTAGAAAATTGATAAGCTGAATGCTCCTGACATGTCAGTTCTTGTCAGAGAAGCTATCCAACTAACTATCCTACTAACTAGCTGTTAAAAGCTAACAGCTCAATCTCTTTTAAAACACTCTTCAAAATAACCTAGAAACATTTGATCTGCAATTTGATTTTGAATTCTGCATTTGGATTTATGAATACAAAGTGAAAAGAGAGGAAAAGAAAAAAGGAGAAAAACAAAGATTTCTATCAGCGAAAGGATGATTATTCCATTTGCTAGCACTTACTGACTGCCGGAAAGTTACTAATAACCTAATAATACTTCTTTTAATATTATAAATGATACTCTATTCATTTTGAAAAACAGTTCTTTCCGTTTTTCAAGTAATCTAAAAAAAGTCCCAAGATTTCAAATATTGAAATAATAACTAATAAAATGTCATGAATTTACTTTCTTTAATGAATTTTGTTCTTATCCTTGGAGATACTGATATATACATATATTTTTGGTTAAAGTATGCTTGACTAGAGTTGCTAGTTGAAAGACAAACATTTCCTTCACAGGTAGAAATTTTCCCTCATGTCTGCTTAGAAGAGTGGCCTCTAGTCCTCTGTGGATGTGTCTTATCCATTCAATTGAAAACTGGCATCAAGAAAATCCAATGATGAGGACAGGTCCATGCTGACCTAGAAAATATTTCCTGTCTACATATCAAGATTTTCTTATTAAAACAATGAATCATCCATCATTCAGATCTCTTTATCTGCCTTAGAACTTTTTGGTGAAAAGCAACCAGGCTTGATTATTCCATGCAAACTATATCCCTTTTATTCTTGGAGAGTGTACATGCAAAACAAAAATAACATCTTTAGTCTTCATCCCACTGGTTCACCTCAAGGTTCAGAGGCCAGAAAAAAACAAGATTTCCTGGATCTCCGAACATATGCAAAAAGAAGGCCTATTTAATGGACACCTCTGGTCAGCCAACTAGTATTTTAACCTTAGTCCACAGTGTTATTTGAATTTAGCACCCCTGACACACAGAGCTATGCTCTGATCACTGTGGACAGATGTAAAAGAAACCAGGTAATTTTGCCCTTCATCTGTCTTCTAGACATATGGGTCCTATGGAATGAGATGCTGGACCCATTTTCCCAAAATGGCACTCTGATTTTTATTTCTGATTCCTAGTGTGTACCTTTTAAAATTACTAACTACGAACAACGCTTTACATGCAACCTTCTGCAGACCTGTAAGTTTCCAGACATAGTTGAATACGGTAATTCTAAGAGTGTCTATGACTTATTTGATTCACTTAATAATTCTGTTCACAGCAAAAAATACCCCAGTGAGGAAAGCTTAAATATGCGAAGTCATATTACCCTTCTTAACTTTTTCTAATACATAGTCCTCTCCAACTGTATCATAAATTAGCTAATTAAAAATTAACTAATTATACTAACCCACTATCTTATTTTCAAATGATTTAAAACTAGAAGACAAATTGCTGTCAACTCCAGAAGACAGCTGATCACTAGATACTACAGCAGAACGACCTGGTACTGACAGAAGGAAGCACATAAAATCTTACAACTCAAAACTTTATAAGCTTTGCTTTAGAATTTTGAGATGAGGCAATATCAAGACGTTTATGAAAGAGCTATAAATACTGGTAAGAATGAGCTTTTAATTTATGGGTTGACTTCCAGTTTAATTGACAACACTGAATACCTAGGTCAAATTTCCATTCCCACTTCCCCAAATAGTATAATTGTATTATTTGAACATTTTAAGATGAGGAAGTTCCACTGAAAAAGTTAAAGCATCTTTCCATCAGAATCCACTCTTCTAGAGATAAAGAAAAACTCTCCCAATACCCACCCTACACACACACACACACACATAGACACGTGCACACACACACTCATCCTGAGTCCAATGGAATACTGAGAAGAAATCACTTCCTTGAAAAATCTTTAAAAAAAAAAAAAGCCTGGCCTCCCTTGAGAATCCTTCCCCTCCTTGGAATGTCAGTGTTTGTGTAGATGAAACCATCTCATGCACTATGACTTCAGGGTTTCTGTTATTAGTTTATGCACTTGGGAGAATGCTTAAAATGGAAGATGTAGCACATTTTGCTTTCCCATTTATTGTTTGGCCAGCTATGCCAATGTGGTGCTATTGTTTCTTTAAGAAAGTACTTGACTAAAAAAAAAAAAAAAAGAAAAAAAGAAAAAAAAAGAAAGCATAGACATATTTTTTTAAAGTATGAAAAAAACAATTCTTTAGATAGATGGCTTAAGAAAATAGCATTAGGTCTAGTCACCACCACCTTTCAACTTTATATCACTCACAAGTAGTGTACTGTTCACCAAATTGTGAGTTTGGGGGTGCAAGGGCAGAAGAAGGAAATTTTTTTAAGTTAGAAGGCTCCATTATTTTGTTGGCTCTCAAACTCAATAAAATTAGCAATATATTATCCCATATGAACACCTTGATTCAAGAGCATGGAGTATAAATGGGAAAGAAAAAAAAAAAAAAGACCTTATAGGCAAATGGCAGAACTGAAAAGATGATTAAGTTACTCGTTGATTGTGTGTGTGCGCATGTGTGCGCGTGTGTGTGCATGTGTGTGCACGCGCTCTCTGCTCTAAAACAGATATTCAGCAAGTGGAGAAAAAAAACAAAAAGAAAAATGCATAGATTCACCTTCTAAAGATAGCTTCTGCCACATCCCCCTTGAATAATTCTTTGGAGTTTACTGGTTTATAGAAGATATTCTCCCTTCACCTAAACATCTCAAAGAGCAGCAGCTCTCATAAAAAGCAATCACTGATCTCATTGGGAAGTGTTGGCAAGTATTTCCTTCTGAGATGGGGGTTATCTACTGATAAGGAAAGAGAAGAATTTATGAGAAACCGTTGAAAGAGATGGCTAACAATCTGTGAAGATTTTTTTGTTTTTGTTTTGTTTTTTACTTTATACAGTCTTTATGAATATCTTAATATTCAAAAATGACTTGTTCTTTTTATTCTTTTTTTATATTGGAATGAGGGATGATAAGTTAAACCCACATAGACTCTTTAAAACTATAGGCTAGATAGAAATGTATGTTTGACTTGTTGAAGCTATAATCAGACTATTTAAAACGTTTTTGCTATTTTTAATCTTAAAAGATTGTACTAATTTATTAGAGACAGATCCTATTTGGTTCTCTTCATAAGAAAGAGCATTCCCACTCAAATCACCTGGGCTTTCCCATCAACGTTTTCGAAAGATAAATCTGATTTATGCATCATTATGGCATCATTTATTTTGAAATTTTAAAATAAACTAAGCCCGATTCTTTATGCCCCTCTCCTGCAATGCTCATAAAGTCCAGAATCTGAAGGGGCAAAAACAAGAGGAAAATTTTGTTGATTCTTTGTTTTTGGTTTGTTTGTTTGTTTTCAATGCTAGTGTTTAATCCTATAGTACATATTTGCTTATTGCTATGTTAATATTCTAAAAGACTTTCCTGTTAGGTATTAGAAACTGATACATAGATATCTTTTTTGTGTGATTTCTATTTAAAAAAAAAAAGGAGATGAGAAGACTGTCTGAGCTTTAAGTGCGTATGGTACAGGATAAAGATACAAATTTAAATAACCAAATCCTATCTGGAACAATACTTTTTGTAGGAAACCTCTCACAGATGAGACAGAGGCCCAGGGAGTTTTTGAAACTGTCTTTTTTCCTCTTAGTCCTTGTTCATTTAGTATCTGCCTCAAAATTTTGTAGAGGGCTGACCAAGCTGAAACCCTAGAATTAAAGGGGCCTCTTTTAAAGCATACATTTCACATGTTCCTTCTTAATTTATGATGCCACATTGATCTTAAACATGGTCACTGTTTCTCCCCATTCTTCAGCTGTCATTGATAAGGTCTTTCAAGAAAAAACAACTTAAAAAGAGAACACAAAAGTTCAAATGTTACTGCCCAATTGAAATGTAAGTTAAGATAGAGATAGTTTCTCCTATTTAACCCCTGCTGAATCACCTGTCACCTTCGAAATGACCTTCACAATCCTTAGAATATTCCTTTTT